TTCAGAAGAAAATTTCCGCCTTTCATTTTGCCCACCACAAGTTCATGTGAGAAATAATATATATTGTCTAGATTTACAGCCTTTTACTATCTCAGATATTAAGGATGTATTAATTTTGCTTTTGATATGTATCCATAGGTTCTGTCTTTCACACATCCTACCTCGTTCCACTCTGCAGAGACGTATGAATCTCTTCTGCAGTGCCTCAGGATGGAAGACGATAAGGTAGCAGAGGCAGCTATTCAGATATTCAGAAACACTGGCCACAAAATAGAAACAGATCTGCCTCAGATAAGATCGTGAGTGCATTTTTCCACATACTGAAAATGCTTATTATACTCTGTTGCCTCAGTTTTGCAACATGATGATACTGGACAGATTTTAAAAACTGGTGCAAATATGCATAGCTGCTTTTATTGCTTATTCCTGTTGCACAGTATTGAAGATTTTCTGAGTACTTGGTTTTATATTACTCTTTTTCTTAATTATCTTTATCTTAATGAATATACCAATAAAGTGGTTTTAAAAGTAGGAAATTGCATTTGAATCAGCCATCTGTTGACTTGGGAAAACAGCCCCTCTTGAAGGGAAATCTAAGCCCAAGTTCTGTGGAAAAGTGGGAATAAGAATTGTTCTGTTGAATAATGGGAAGATACCTATTTATTACCATATCATTAATATAAATCTACATGTGTATGGGGCAGGAGGCTCCTAATAATGATTTCATTTGAACTACTGTTCCAGAAAGAATTATGGTCCTAATTCGATATAATGGTTTTATATGGTGGCGCAAGCCCCAGACATTTCCAAAAACATTTGAATGAGTTCATGTAAGTACTAGAAGAATTTTATTTTGGGTAACATTTTGTTTTTGTCCTAAATCTGTTCAGAACCTTAATTCCTATCTTGCATCAGAAAGCAAAGAGAGGAACACCTCACCAAGCAAAACAAGCTGTCCACTGTATACATGCCATTTTTTCAAATAAAGAAGTTCAACTTGCACAAATCTTTGAGGTAAGTTTGTCTTGTACATTTTAAAAAGCCACAAAAGAATGGAGTCCGGGTTAATAGCATTTTAATAATTCTAAGAGCAGCATCCAAATGGGCAGCTGCACTGCTACTGATTGTGTTGCACCAACAGGTTCTACTATTTGCATAACAGGGAGTTAGTGCTTCATAAAGGAATAATGGAAATGACCTGTGGAAATGATCCAATTGCCATTGGTCCTTGGAACCCTTTTGTGAGCTCCAGTGGTCTGGTTCACATGTAATGAGAAACCACTGATGGTGAATACCACTGTGATGATCCTTATTATGGCAGTGACCACCATTTTTATCATTTGAGCTGCAGCAGGGGCACACTGTTAGGGTCTGGAGAGTCGTCTCTCCAGCATTTGTGGACTTCCTCTTGTGCTTGTCCTGGTTTTAGAAAATGAGTCAAACCAACAGAAATCCATGAATGCTGGCAGAACAACAATTGTGCTACCAACAGCCTTCTTTTGTACAGCATCATAAACAAAGGCTCTTGCATGTGACACAGGGATGCTGCTTGTGTAGTGTATGTAGGAGGATCTGTTCCTGGCAATCAGCCCATGAATACTGAGTGCACTCAGCCTGAGTAGCCAAGCCCAGGGAATCCAGCAAATTCTTCACACATCCCCACACAATGCCATGTTGTTACATGTGAACTTGGCAAAGGTGGGTGATTGAGGTGGTTGACAACCCATCTTGGTCAGATTTGCACATAACAAGTTCATGTGTGCCTCAGTGCAGGTTGAATATTCAGAATGCTGTGATAAAAATGCCTCAGAGTGGCACTGACTTGCACCATTCTGAAAACATTTTCACTCCAGCATAGAATACTGGCCTGCATTTGTGTAACATTTAATGAACATTTAGCACTATGAATTTGTTTGCATGTCACAATACACTGCCATGAAAATAAGCCTCAATAGGTTGGTTGCTCACTAACTAGCTCACACATTCCCAGCAAATAATCAGGTGCTCTCTAACTCGATGTGTCTTGTTTCCTCCTTAGTCTTCCTGCCTATGTCTGGCAGGTTTCCCATGGGCCTACGTGGCACCACGTTGGCAACCTGTTTCACTAATGAGTGTAAATGTATTCATTAATGGAATAGAAATTACTTTATCGATATTTTAAACTTTGGGAAGATAAGCAAATTTAACTTTTAAAAAAGTCTTGGAGGATTTTGACAAATTTGCTAACATGCAGTAACTATTATGCTTATTTGTATTAACTACTGTGCATAAATGGAGTAAGCCTAAGCAAAATAGTTACTGCAGATTTGTCCAAGTTCTTCACATAAGTAGGGAGAAAAAAGTTTAATTTGCTCAAATCTCCTGAAGGTGAATCTCCCCCCCCCCGCCCCACATATACACACACATTATATATGTGCAAATTTCCTGAAAATGGGGAAAGAAACAAGGAATAAATTTATGTACATTTTCCTTCAAATGGGAGAAAAAGTTGTTGCTTTCCAGGAAGGTAACAAAATGAAAGACTAAGTTGCCTAGTGTCATATCAACGCATAAATAGAGAGGGGCCATTGCTATGATTAGCAAGATCACAAGGGACAAGCAGGTTTTTATCCTGCTTTTATCAGGCAGCTCTATAGCCATTTTCATCAAGCCACTGTGTTGTTAGATTACAGTAGACCACCTTTAAGAACCCAACAACAAACCATGCATTCTAAGAGTGTCTTGTGTATGGTTAACCAGCCATACTAAGGAAACCACAGCATGTTTGGACATCTTGGCAAACCATTCTGAAACAAACAAGGATGACAACCCACTCTGGGTTGTTGCATCATATAAACCAGGCCTTACAGTGTGAGGAAGAAAAAGAATCCACAGTGACTTATTTTCCTTGCCCTATGCATGCCATTTACAGGTCACCTCAGTTCCATAATTATTTGCTGTTGTGTTAAGGTTGCCATGTTGTCTGAACCTAACTAGGGTGGTTTTCAAACCATCACAGACCCCTAGAGCAGGCCCTGTCATTTGAACCAAACAAGAGTGGTTTCCAAAACAACCTGTGAGTTGCATGAATTAATTTGCAGAAATCAATGGAATCTGTCCAAATGGCACTAAAGCCATGTGGTTTTGGGGGTCCTATTTGTACACATTTAATAGTAGTTTAACAAATGCACAAAGTCTAACTTAGAGATGGAAATCTGCCCCACACTGAGTAGGTGTAAGCATGGGGCCAACTAACCAGACTCATCTGTGTATGTAGGGAGTTAATCATGAAAATCTATTGAATTTGCACTCCCTATTGGATTCTTCCCACATCCCTAGATGGGAGAGTTCAGTACTCTTCTGACACCTGGTGGTAGGAAGGAAGAGTGTGTGAATGCAAGACCATTTTCAACCCATTTAAAGTTGGCTCCAGTATTAGTATTGGAATTCTGGCATATGAAAACACGTAAGCCATTTCTCCTGTTTATTTGCTTATAGGCACTAAGCAATAATGGAGAAAGACACACACAGAGAAAACATTTTATTCACAAAATATTTTTGAACCACCTGCCATCCCTCTGTGAAGCATGCAGACCTGCCCAATTTTACAAATGAGCATCACTTATTTCCAGTTTTATCAGGAACATTGAATTCCTTTTTCTAGGATACTGATCCCTGTTGTTTGCACTAAATTTAATTTACATCCCCAGTCCCAAAATAGGTAACACAACATTAAATCCAAATGATGATGACATTATCCTTTCATTACTGCAAGCATAGTATCTTAAAGGCAGCCAAAGAGAGAGAGTTATAGCTCCCTTCTGTAAGATGCTTGCATCTTGAAGAGTATTAAAGGTCAAAAAGTGGTGCCTAACAGTAGGCAAATAGTGTATAACATGGACATTCTGAAATAGCTGGTGAGATACTGGAAAAAGTAATTTTCTAGATCAGGGCAGTCCAACTTTTCGTACCTTGAAGACCACATAAGGACTTGGGGGTATATACTGAGTTTTCAATATATTTATTTAATTTAATATACACTATATATTTAAACAAAGGAGAATTAATTTTATGATTATTTTAGGACCAATTGAGTGAAAAAGATTGCCTTGGGGGCTTGTGATCGCTGCAGAAGTCTGACCACAACCCAAGCTCAATGACCACTCCTCTGGAGTGGCCCATCTCTTTCTTCCCTGTTTCTCCCACTTAGGAATGCTTCCATGTGACCACCCCACCCCCACCCCTTCATTGTTTCTTGGAATTGGTGTGCTGAACCTCTTGTACTTGTGCTAACAAACCCTCCCCAGCATGCTCTGCCTGCTCCTGCTGACACGTTCAAAGGTGCTGTGTTCCTGATCGCCAATGTGCTTGTCAGCTGGAACAGTGTGGGGCATGCTGGGGTGAGCTTTTGTAGGGCTGCCAACCTGACTTTGAGCCTCAAGAAGAGAGCAGGATGGGTAGGTGGCCTCAAGAGAGCGTGCTGCAATCATGCCCATGCCATCACTGGAATCCGGACTGGGGGAGGAATGTGGGGGCTCCAGGCAGCAAGATGGCTACAGAAAAAGGCCTTGGGGGTCACATGCAGCCCGCAGACCACATGGTGGGCCACCCTGCTCTACATTTAGAGTGATCAAGCTGTTTCACTTTTAGTCCAAACCACTATATTAAATGGAGTGGGAAAAGCCTGTATTTCATTTCAGACCTTGAGATTTATACTTATATTAAGTAAGGTAGTAATAATGGTAGAAATCAATTTACTATTCTGGGAGTAAACTGTGGTGATTTGCAGTAGATAATTACTGTTCCTTCTTCTTCTCTAGCCTCTAAGTAGAAGTTTGAATGCTGATGTTCCAGAGCAACTTATAACTCCTCTGGTATCTTTGGGTCACATTTCCATGTTGGCACCAGACCAGTTTGCATCACCAATGAAATCTGTAGTTGCAAATTTCATTGTAAAAGATCTCCTGATGAATGACAGGGTAAGATTGAGAAACAATGAAACAATGAAATTTGAAACAAAATGGAAAAAATGAAGAAGTGTTTTATAAATATCTGATAAGAGCCTGTGAAAAGAATACAAAGTTTATTCAAACCCTTTAAAAAAAAGTTATTTTGCACATTTTTTTCTTTGAACTGCTTTCAATTCTGTGTAAATCTTTGTAGTCTACAGGTGAGAAAAACGGGAAATTATGGTCTCCAGATGAAGAGGTTTCTCCAGAAGTTCTAGCAAAGGTAGTTTAATACCTTGTCTGCAGTTGTGAGATGTAGATTTCCTACAAAAATAAGTACCAGTATTATTCTTGATTAGCATAATCTGTATAAGTGACCTTTGTAATATCTCAGCCTTTGAAAAACTTCACTTTCAGTATTATTTAATTAGAAAAAATGATATTTTGCTTTCTCTCTTTCATGGCAAATGTTGCATTCAATGCCTTTCAAAGCTATACATGAAATTAACATCATAATAAATTATTACTTCATTTGTTATACATACATACCATATTCTGTGATGTTGGATATCACTTTACTAAGAATAGAGCTATTATTTTTCATTTTGTCATTGTTTAACTTTTATAGTGCTGATATTAAAAGAAAACACAAAAAGTAAGGAAATATATAGCTGCTCTAAATTTTAGATGAGTTAGTTTTCAGCTAAATTTTTAGATCTGTCAGTTCTTTGTAACCACCAATTTCTCATTTTCAGTTGTCTTTTGCAGTTCAGTACACAAAACATTTAGATAAATAATTCAGCAAGCTAATTGAAGTTGTGACAAGCATAATACAAAAGCATTCTCTTTTCCTTAGTCTCATTTACTTTAATGTCCTTGCATGAATATTGCTTTCATTCATGCACTTTTGAACATACATATACATTTCTCTTGTTCTGAAGTTAAAGATGAACCTAATTTTTGTCGAGACCAGTTGTTTTTGTATAGAACTGACATTCAAACAGTAACTACTTGAAATAAATTAGATGACTTTACTATGCTACTACAGTTCTTAATACTTCGTGTTATCTATGAATAGGTTCAAGCAATTAAACTCCTTGTACGTTGGCTCTTGGGTATGAAAAACAACCAGTCAAAATCTGCAAATTCAACGCTCCGGTTATTATCGGCTATGCTAGTCAGTGAAGGAGATTTGACAGAACAAAAGAGAATCAGGTAAAAGTTTTACAATTTTTCAGGGCTTTTGTCTATGTACCAATCTAGCAAGGGAGATGCATATATGAAAGTGAGAGTTCCACACATGATTCCCTTGTTAGATTTCATAAAGTGGGTGCAGATTCAGCATTAGACATACAGTGTTAGACCCAGTTACACCTCAAACAGTATGGTTAAAATGAGAATACCACTCTGTCTTCAGGTTTGACTGGGAAAGCATACATATTTTAAAAGTTCCTAAGGGTATACTCTTATACATCATATGATGCTCTCTGTGGCTCAGACTGAAAGGAAATGAAGACTCCATAGAAGCAATAGTTTGTATTTTGAATCCTATCCAAATGTGTAAAAACTGTGCTATCTGACAAATGAAATGACATCCTGATCATAACAAGTTACTTTCCATTTAAAACCTACCTAGGTATTTGATTGTGTTGCTGTATACACCAAGTCCTTGCAAGTGGTGGAAGTGGCAATGAAGCTACCAATTTCTCATTGTGCTGGGATTTTCTTTCCCATTCTTACAAGTCAGCCCCAAAGCTGATTCAAGTCTGAGTCTGCAAATCATAGCAGTGAAGGATCTAATAAAAAGCTAAAGATGAATGCCTGAAATGTTGTGTTAATGTGTCATCACTTACATGGAATTGTTAAAACTATTTACTCAGCCAGAAAGCCTGTCGCTTGTTGGAATGATTATTGTTAGGATGTTCACAGTGCTCATGTATCTTTAGATACAATTGTGATTTCTGAGAAAGAGGAAGAATAATTTTCTTCTGTATGCAGCAAATCTGACATGTCCCGTCTACGACTGGCTGCTGGCAGTGCCATAATGAAACTTGCGCAGGAGCCCTGTTACCATGAAATTATAACCCCAGAGCAATTTCAACTCTGTGCGCTGGTCATTAATGTGAGTAACCAAACTTAAAGTGCTATGAGGTGGACAGTTAATTAAGGTAGGGCAGATTCCCTACAATAAAACTCTGTTCAGGCTAAAATTATGTGTCTCCCTTTTTTAAAACTGAAGATGCGACATAATATATAAATATATTTTAAAATTGCAGAACTGTTCATGAGTTTCATAACCCACATAGCTTGTTTTGGTTGTTCCATTACACTTACATCATTTTTTCCTCTTCTAGGATGAATGTTACCAGGTGAGACAGATATTTGCTCAGAAGCTGCATAAGGCCCTAGTAAAATTACTGCTCCCATTGGAGTACATGGCAATATTTGCACTGTGTGCCAAAGACCCTGTAAAAGAAAGGAGAGCACATGCAAGACAATGCTTGCTTAAAAATATAAGTATACGACGAGAGTATATTAAGCAGAACCCTGTGGCCAATGGTTAGTAAATTTGCTTACAAATAATATTTTTTCTTTACTTTTTGACTCCACATTCTTGTTTTGGTCGTATGGAATAATAAAGCAGTGGTTGTATTTATATTCATTTTGAGTGCTGTTCCCTGATTTTATTAATAAAAAATTAGATTAATTTTACAGTTTTTTGTAAAATACATTCGGTTACCTATTTGCATAATAGCAAAATAGTGAAAACCCTTGTGTTCAGTATTATGTCTTGCTTGTGTAGCTTGCTCATGAACTTTTTATATATTATTCTAGAAAAGCTGTTATCCCTGCTGCCTGAATATGTGGTACCATACATGATTCACTTGTTGGCTCATGATCCAGATTTTACAAAACCTCAAGATGTTGATCAGCTCCGTGATATCAAAGAGTATGTGTTTTCTTGTATTAGCTGCTTGGAAAACTTGCTTTTCATATTAGCATTATTTATTCATTTCATTCAATTTCTATTCTGCCCCATAACCCAAAGGTTCTCTGGGTGGCTTACAAATGCTAAAACAGCATGAAAACATGCGTGGAATACAATAAATCAGATAAAATAGATAAAACAATAAAATAATAGCTAACATCTCATAATAAAATATACCCGCACACCCCAAATAAATTAAACAGATTAACTAAAGTTAAATAATCCATAAATTAAATTTAGCTAAATTAACCATAATTGATTAAATTAAAAATAAGTCGTATGTCTGGGCATTCAGAATGCATTCCTTTTTAAGGAGAGAACGGTATTTGGTTTTCTCTAATGCACCTAAACAGTACTAGGAATTCCATATGAATTTAGGAGTACTCATTTTGGAGGCTGGTTTTATTAATTTTACTGGTACTATATTCCTCTGAGGAGTTTAGAATGTCATCTAGTTACTTTCCACAAGCAGGATCCCATCCATACCGTTTAGCAGTCCAGTCCTACTTAGTTTTAGCAGTAGAACTGAATCATGTTTCTTCAAGGCCATTCTCTAAGCATGATGGTCATTCATTCATTCATATGTTTAGGGTTGATGGATTTATCTGTAAATGATTAACAGTTAAACTTCCAAATATCTAATTTGGGAAGCTTTAACTCCACATAGATTACCTTAACTAAACTTTCAGATCATATTGTCCCAAGGTCAGTACTCCCCTCTGCACTTTATTCTGTCTCCTTCCTGTCTAGAACTCCTAAGATAAGTTTCCAGTTTCTCTCTTTGTGTTAATTTGGAGAAAAGAACCTAGTTTATAACATAGATAAATTTCTGCAATATGGGATTGTGGGAGATAAAAAGCAGAAGTTGAAGGGATGTACTGTCAGATTCATATATGCTCTCTCTTTAGGAAAAGATGTCGTGTTTAGGAAAAGATGACGTGTTTCACGGTCTTTGTATTTTCTAAGGTGCCTGTGGTTCATGCTGGAAGTCTTAATGACGAAGAATGAAAATAACAGTCATGCCTTCATGAAAAAGATGACAGAAAGTATCAAACTTACACGGGATGCACAGTCTCCAGATGAGCCAAAGGCCAACGAAGTAAGATATGTGAAAAGAGAAGGGCTTTGAACCCTAAGTTTTGAAGTCAGTTATTGAGCAAGATGGACAGAACTCTTCAGAGCAAGCACTAACCCAGAATCTCTCATTTCTCTCCAAAGTGAATTTTAGTTGTAAGCATTTTAATGTTGGCAATGCCATCCTTACAACCCCTCTGCCCTGCTGTCTTTAGTTGCCATCAAGCAGTTGGAAATATTTTTCATAGGAGAATAATATGTGTGAGTGTGCCTGCACCTGTGTATGTGAAATGGACAAGTGTACTGTAACAGTAGGACCCTATGAGAACTATTATTACACTATTCTAGAAAGGTACTCATGTTCGTCTGTTGCAGGGAAACTGAAAGGTCTGGTTGTATTAAACATGTTTTTTATGTTTTTATATCCCAGATTCTTTTGAATCAGTAGCCATCTGCTCTGTTTGTTTAATTTAATAAAATCAAATTAAACAATTTAATTCAGCCCAGGTTTGGATGTCATGTCAAACCAGAGGCTGAATATTCAAAATGGCTGCCTGCATTTTCTGGAACTCAGTGTGGCTTAATAAGCCATGGTGGGCTTTGGTGCTCATGAGAACCGGTTCAGTGAGTAATGCTGAGTCAAATCCTTAATATAGCTGGCTTACTGATTTATTTGCTCTTATTTAAAACTGCAAAATAATCTTCAAAGTACTGTAATCATTTTTCCCCTCAGAAACTCTACACTGTATGTGATGTGGCCCTGTGTGTAATCAACAGCAAAAGCGCTTTATGTAATGCAGATTCTCCAAAGGATCCTGTATTGCCAACCAAATTTTTTACACAACCTGAAAAGGTAATTTTGTGAAACAATGAAAATAAATCTTTGGCTGTGCTTTCTGCTTAACCATAGATAGCTTCAAGATAATTATCTAAATGCTGTCTTGTTCTCTTACTCTCTTAAGAATACTTTGTTTTTATTAGGTTATTTTATAAACGCTGAGCCAAAGAAATATATTTTCTGCTTGTCTATAATATATGGGATCAATAACAGTTGTAATATAGACTAGTCATATAATGCCAATAAATAAATAAACCACAGTTCAGCATATATTTCTTTCTTTAGAATGTTCTTTAGATTAAAACCTGGAGTTCCTGAACTGTGTATACTGAAAATATTAAAGTTAAAAACAAATTATCCTAAATTTGGCCTGAAAGGCTAAGTAATCTCTTTTCTTTCCTTAAAGGATTTTTGCAATGACAGGAATTATATTTCAGAAGAGACTAGAGTTCTTCTTTTAACGGGAAAGGTACTGTTTATGATCCTAGTACTTTCTTGAACATGTCACATTGATAACAACTCTCTCAGGTGTTTTGGAAAATAATAAAATGAAATACAGATTAACTGAATGAATTACAATTGGCAACCTGTTCACATTGTGATTCTTCCCACATTTACCTAAAAATAAATCCCAGTGAGTTCAGTGAGCATCACTTCTGAGAAACATGCTTAGGATTGCACTTGATTTCAGGTGAACTAATGTAGGAAACTTGTAAATGGTGTCCTAAATTGGAAACTTCCAGTTCTAGAACAATAATGTTCATTTTCATGTGGAATGTGTGAAGCAATTCCAAGATTTTGTGGTAGTTACAGAGTGTTAATATTAGAATCCTAATCTGAGCAGGGTTTATTGTATTTTTTGCTCCTATACTGAAATCATAGAATAATATTTAATACGATCTAAGAGGAAATGATCCTGGGACAAGTGCAACTATATCTTTCAGGCTGTTCTGAGTTTACGCTAATCTTGAAGGGGAAAACCAAGGTCTTTCTATATAGCCCCATGTTTAGAAAGATTAGATTCACACAAAAATGCAAGCCATTATGGGGAACCAGCCACAGTGCATTGTATTCTGCTAACCCAGAACATTTTCTACAGGATGGCTTGTGGAGGGCAAAAAGACAATCTGATGACCCATGTTTTTTTCTGGAAGTTGTTAGGACTGTGATGTCTTGTCATAGTATCCAAGCCCAGACAAACACTCAGCAAGAGCAGCAAAAACCCTTTCCATTTTTTGACATACTTTCCTGGATGCCTGGGGTTACAACCAATCCAGCAATGCCAAAGCAAGAGTTTGGAGTGACAATCTCTGGCTCAAGCTTGGATAGTCCATTGACAACCCATTTTGGGTTTCCACCACAGCCTTTTCCTCTTCTCCTTTTTGCAATCTTTGTGTAATTACTGCTTGTGACAATGACATCCCTTCCAATGTGCCCAAATGGAAGAGCAGCTGTGGCTAGTTTGCCACCTTTTTGTTTACAAATTAATTTTTAAGCAGCATAAATCTGCAAAAATATGTTTATATTTTTACCACTATTTTTGGTATTTCAGGGGTATGTAGATAAGCATTGGCAAATAACTGAAAGGTCTTGCTTGGTCAGTGTCACAGTAAGTGCCTGTCGTGAAAGTGGAGTAGGTACCAGCCCATGGTCCTTAACCAAACAAGCCTGCAAATATTTTAATTTGTTACTGTGCTTTCATTTGACAATTGTGAAATAGCAAGGTGTCAGTGGAAAAGCAGAGCTTTAAAAAAGATGTTAGCTTGTGAAATGGATGGCATATATATTACCCCTTTTTGAGCCAGAACTTCTGGTTTTGATGAGCAGAGTCTTCATCTTCAGCACTTTCTACCCTTTCGCATGACTGTAGGTGCTCAAGAAATGCATGCACATTTATAAAACCAAACTCAAAGATCCTGTTTACCACCTAATTCTAAAACTGTCATATTGTTTTCAATAAGATAGAGAAGCATTTTTGATAAATTGTTATATGTAAATTATATATATATCAAACTTATATAAACTTACTTTGTTTGTTTGTTTTAGCCTAAACCAGCCGGTGTATTAGGTGCAGTAAATAAGCCTTTATCTGCAACTGGAAGGAGACCATATATCAGAAACCCAGGATCAGAGACTGGAAGCAATAATAGTGTAAACTCAGAGTTGAGTTCTCCTGCAGGAAACAAATCAAGGTACAGTGTTTTCAGTACAACACTTCAGATTTTAAAATGGACTCTTACATTTAAGGGATATTTCCTTTCAATATGGATTGAAATGTATTGAGCAGTTTGTCATATTTTTGTTTTTCTGTTGATATATTTAAATTTTCCTAACCTAACCTAGAAATTTAGGGGTTACTCAGCATCATACAGGCCATTGATTGCAGAGATACAGGTAATACTTGGACCTCTTGTTTCATCTTCCAGGCATTGAGATGTTTTTAATTTCAGAAGAAATAGTTTCTAGTTTAATAATACTGATAAGCTGCTAACTACTTTGACACTACAATAGGTATAATAGATACAATAGAAAGTGTTCAAATAATTTACAACA